TCTATTCTATTCTATTCTATTCTATTCTATTCTATTCTATTCTATTCTATTCTATTCTATTCTATTCTATCCATCATGCCCCTCCCTATCATTTTATTTGTTCTTCTTCAGTGCGGGTTAAGTGTCTTTTGCTTCTGGTACAGTGTTTCAACTTTTTACATATCTTTTACGTTTCACTGAGGTACATACACAAATGTATAAATATATATTTGCACGGTGTGGTTGCTCAAGCCTCTGGTTCACGGAAGTCATCGCTACGATCGAACTGTTTTACGCACAGGATCTCTTCAGATCATTTTTCTTTGGAGAACATCTGAATATTTTTTCCAGACGTTTTAATTAAAATGTTCTCTTGTTTCTTCTTCGATTCCCACGGGCATTACTGATATTACCAGAAGCACTTAGTGTATGGCTTGCTCGAGGCTTCTCGAATCTAGTTGTAATTTGCATCACGTCTAAAACCTAATCCCGTCCAATGATTTTAAAAACGCAACATAATTCTAAGCAGGTTTTGTAACGCTGTTTATCATATACCTGTTGAAGATGTATATAATTTTAAATTTGCATGTAGGTATTGCCTTAAAGGCATTGTGCTTACTCTCAAAAGTGATGGCAATATCTACGATGGGCGACAGTGTCTTGAAATTTTCTATTCGATTAAGTATTTAGCCAGATAATTTGCAGATTGACCCGGTAAAAGGATAAAGTTATGCATTAAGCTTTTAATTGCCTTCTTCTTGAACACCTCATGATTCTGTTGAGTTTTATTGATTGATTTGCTTGTTGAATACTTGAGCAACAGCATAAGATTCACCGATTTGCAGTATTTGCCCATCAACAGGTTATTCGAGCCGAAGATGGAGAAGGCAATGTGCCTGTTCATCTAGATGCGCTGACATGTGAGCTGATCTGAACAGGGGAAGTTCTTATGACCATACGTATATCATAACAATGTGCCGATCTCTCGAAAACTCGGCACAGGGATTCCAAGGAACACTGGACAAAGCACCAAACTTACGAAATAACAGTAAGTGTATTCATGCAGTATATGATGAGACGAA